TTGATGTTGATATTTTTTTGATAATATCATTGTATTTATTCACTTTCTAGTTAGAGTGTGTGATTGTCCATTCCAATATGTTAGACAAAAAAAAACTTGGTAACAAATGATGTTTTATGTTATCTAAAATATCTACTCATTTATATTATGTGATGTTACTATAATTAAAATTATTATATGTTCAATTTAACTAATAAAATTTAGTTTTATTTTTTTGGTAGATAAAATTTATTTAATGTTAGAATATAGTCAACATTCTTAAATAAATTTATAACTCATACCTAAATCCTTTACAATATCTATGTAGTGTTAGTATAAGATTATATATAATCATTATATTATTCACAATCATTTTTTATCAATCAATCATTACAAAAGATTAATGATAGATGATACATACAATATATAAAATTTATAATTTTTTTATATTTTTAAACAAGTCTAACACCACCTAACATATTTTTACCTGTACTCACAAATCCTATATATTCATTGTATTTTTGGATTTCTTAAACATTATCTCATGGTTAGGAAAATCATTTTTATTTATACTATAGTTTAAATTGCCAAATTTACTACAATTTGACCCTCAATTGTATACTATCATGAATGAATAAAAATTGTAAAACCAATATTGTGAAATATGAGCTGAATATTAAATGAAAATATGTTATATTAAGATTAACTAGTTAAATTCTCCCATTAGAACAAGTAATTTTATATATAATTAATAATTATTTATAAATGCAAAAGTTTCATTAATTAATAATTACATTAAAGCAATATCTCTCAATTTTTTTCCTGATCAAAGTAAAATAAAATATTAAAGTAGTATTTATTTATTTTTTAAATAAAATTATGTACTTTCCGTGTTATTACGGTTTAATAGTCATACTAGAATTTTCCTCATTCAAATTGGTCTAATATTTCATTCGGTTAAGACTATAAACCAGGGCCGTTTTTAAGTCCACTTAAACAGTACAGTCCAATTCTCTTAACGGTAAATTTGAACATATATAATTGTGTGTGGTACTATATAATTACTAAGGGGTCGCTAATAAGTTTTTTTCTACCAAAAAACAAAATAAATTCACTGTAAATGAATTTAATAGATTGTCATTGTATCATTTAGCATTCATATTTTATCATATTGATTTTTTTTTAAAAAGTATTGGTATTAGACAATTTTCTTAAACATGGAGAAGAAATGTAAAGTAATTGATAAAAAATAAAATGTCATTTTAATTGGAAAAAAATTATTGTTGTCAAGATTGACTTCACATTACTATTTCCTCACGGTGGATAATGTTTATTAACGTTATGGTAAACGTGACTTAATATCCCAAACAAACACCAATATCCTGGATAGAAAACCTAAACAATAAGGATAAGAAAGAAGAAAAATGGAGAAAGCCAATTAAAGATTTCAATTTCCCAAACCAACGTGCACACTTTTTGTTGAATGCACATCAATCCATCAATTTCTGTAATTTTATAAAAATAAAAATTCAAAATATTTGCTAAGGCACCGCCCTATTCCACCATTGACAAATATGACACTTAAACCATTTTCATCAGAGCCCTCTCTTTGGACTAATCAAATGCGGCATCAACACTGAACGAGGTAACAGCTATAGCCAAGCATAGTCTCCATCTTGTGAACCCAACCAATGGAACCTCATCACCTACCCCAAGAAACCAAACCCACCGCCACCACCGTTGCTATCACCACTCCTTGTGAAACAACTAACAGTGCCAACAGTAACAGTTCTAGCAGCAAGACCACCACCGCTAATAATAGTAGTCACCGAAAATGCAAAGGTAAAGGTGGCCCTGATAACAACAAATTTCGATACCGTGGTGTGAGACAACGAAGTTGGGGTAAGTGGGTAGCTGAGATACGTGAGCCACGTAAGCGTTCACGTAAGTGGCTTGGCACCTTCTCCACTGCCGAAGACGCCGCCAGAGCCTACGACCGCGCCGCCGTTGTTCTCTATGGTTCTAGGGCACAGCTCAACCTCCAACCTTCTTCCACGTCTTCTCAATCTTCCTCCTCTCGTGGCTCTTCTTCTTCCACTCAAACTCTAAGACCTTTACTTCCTCGCCCTTCCGGATTTGGTTTCAACTCTTCCGCTTCTCACGTTCCTATGGTGTTCAACGGTGCTGTTACGTCGGGTTTTCTGCCTTATGGGGTTTACCCTTGCGGCGGCGGTAATAATAACAGTAATATTGTGCCACAGGTGTTGTGCCCTATTGATAATAATGTGGTGCAACATCGTCAACATCACTATCATCAACCTCAGCAATCAGAGCAACAATTACAACACCAACAAAAATGTAACTACCCCGAATCTGATGTGGGTGTAGCAGGTAGGGTTATTGCTTGCAGCTTTACATATATTTACATTTTGAGAGATTGTTTAATTCTGTTCAAAACTTCATAGTAGTATTACTTACAACGGAAATAATTGTTGCTGCTTCAAAAGTATAACTGCCCCGCATCTGATGTTTGATAATTCTTAAGGTTCCATCTCAAGAACTTAATGAGATGGTTAATTTAAAAGCTATATAATTCATGTCAATAAGGAAATGGCGCAAGGCACATGGAAATTCCATCACTTTTGAAAAAATGTTCAGTTTAATTTAACTTTTGGATGTTATCTAATTAGATTGTTCTAGGGTCTCAGCCAAACACACCATACTTTATTTTTTATATTTGCATAGCAATTTTAGGATGACTGTAGTTGAAATCATGTTATTTTTTATGGATCTGGCATCTCTTAATTATGGTTGTTTATGAAGTGGGATAATAATTATGTATTCCTTCTTGCATGATTTAATGAATCAAGATACGATTATACAGTACTATACCTTATTATAACTAATCACTTTGTTTAGAAACATCATCTTTGAAGATTAGATGGATTTTTTTTACCGACTTACAATCTGGGTCTGAAAATTTTGTATTGCTGTATTATTATTTTTCTAATGCAGGTTCCATCAATTCTACCTCATACCAAAATCATAGTCTCAATCATCAACTTGTTCAGCATATTCCTGTGTCAAATCATCTGCAGCATCAAAATTTCATGGTTGAGGAAATGAATTCTTTTGTGGGTTCGAATTTGTCTTCTCAGATTACTTTAGATCAGGCAGCGCTGGGTCAGGATCCAGATCCATCGTTGGGGGTTGTTGGGGCAGTAGGTCTCGGTTCTCCTTCGATGTGGTCATTTACAAATGAGGATGGGTACCCATATTCAGCTAGCTTATGGGATTATAATGATCCTTCGTTTTTTGATTTTTGAGGAGATTTAATTTGCTTTCGCTTCATTGAATGTTTTCTTCTATTTTATCGAATTTTATAGGTCGATAAGTTTTAGTTTTAATTGACTGAATTAAATACTACACACCAATGTGAATATCGTCTAGGTAGAAACTGAAAGTTTTGTAAGTACTAGTTTTAGTGAATAATGAAATGGAAGTGGTAGAATTCATAAGAATAAAAAAACAAGATGTATTCATTGAATTAATTATCAATTTTATCGTCTTATTATATGTGGCATGTATTTTCTTTTATGCGCAGGATTGATGACAACAACCATATTTTTTTATGATTTTTTGATTAATTAGTGATGGTTTAATTTTATTTCTTGGTAACCTTTGTTTTCATCGGATTGTGTCGTCTTAGGGTTTTAGGGGTTGCTGAAATATTTTGTATGTTCAACCACACAATGTCTTATGTCACTATTATATCGGGAATTAGTTAGAAAATTGAATGTGACTGTGTTTTGTTTTTACTTGGTAAAGATACACATCAAGTATTATTGAACATCTGCTTTATAGCAGGATTAATTTTTTTTATAAGGTGTAACTTTCATTCAATAATGTAGTAAAAGTATTACTACAACAAAAGAGACAGAAGTCCAAGACAGCAGAACCGTAACAGGTTATCACACCACACAGCATATAGTCGTAGTAAATAATAGGCATGTATCACTTAACTCAATGAATTATAGTTGTAACTTTAATGAATTGGAATGGATAGTTATCTTTGGCATGTATCACATAAAAGAGCAAGAAATAATCCAATGAGACTTGAAAGATCATGGAAGAAACCTCATAATTTGATTCTTTCTTTACGATAATGTATCCTATGATGTTTTACATGGGATCCATGGTTGGGTTATTTTATTGAAAGTCTTCCTCTCAACATGAAGGTTGGGCAACATGAAGGTTGAAGATGTGGCAACAACAATATAAGCTTCTAAATAACAAAATCGAGCGTCCCTCTTGAGTATTGATGACAAGGACTAATACTCGAAAATGCTTTTGCTAAAAGATGAGCTATACCACATGTGTGTAAGATGTAGGTAAAAGATGTCCTAAGTTGAAAGAAATGTATGTTGACGAGGGGAAAATAAAAATCCTAATGCCTTTAATGACGTCACTTGTGAGGTCCTTTGCTTAGTCCATCTATCTACTAATCTCCCTTTACATTGCACTTTCATGCATCCACCATAACATTTTTTATAAGAATGTTTTCCATGCAGATCCACTCAATTTTATTTTCTACATTTCCCATCCTTTCACCTTATCTTCTAAAATGATATACTCATACTTTATCCATTTTTTAGCATTTTATCATATAAAAATCATTGAAAAGACGGATTTAAACACGTTAAATACAACTGTCCTCTATGTCCTAAAAAAATAGTTTTAATGTGGAATACACACCCTTTTGATTTTCCCCCTTACGCTTCAAAGTGTATGTGTCAAAAAAATGTTGGTCTAGTGGTGTAATATCCAGCTACATTCTCAGGATTACTAATAAGTCAAGAGTTTGATTCTTAGGAATGACAATTATTGGAAGACATAGTCACATATTTCGAAAGAAATTAGTTCCTTATTGAAAAAGATTAATGAATACTTTAATAGTAAAAAAAAAGTTAATGTATTAGTCTTGTTATTTTTTATTTATAAATTCATAAATACATGCCAAACTTATGGGCCAAAGCCCAATACTTGCTGAAGCTATTCGTTAGGGTTTGCTTATAATTATTTGCATCTTCTTCCCTCTGCATTAGTTTCTCAGCGGCTATTGTTATCTCGTACGGCTTTGATAACCGAGACGAAGAAGGGCGAGTTTTTCGATTTCTGATCAACATGAGAGCTAAGGTAAGAATTAAACAATCTATGAATTCATTTTCCTATTACATTTTTATTTAATTATTGAATAGGGTTGAAGTGATGTCTGATTTGTGATGTGGTTTGTTTTGTGCAGTGGAAGAAGAAGCGTATGAGGAGGCTCAAGAGGAAGCGCCGAAAGATGAGACAGAGGTCCAAGTAGTGTGTGTTTTATTTCCATTCCTACAATTAATCCCTACTTTTTTGTTGTTTGTTGTCGATTCTGACACCACAAATTTGTAGTACTTTAATTGTTTCTCTTAGTTTATGTTTATCTTGTTTTAGCTTATATTAGCTGAAAACGTTGTTGTTCATCTGCGAATTAAAGGATTTTTGTTTTGCATTTATTGTTTTCTCGTTATCTATTTCTTCTATAAATCGCCGTGACAATCCCTTTGGTAGATCTGAAGCTTGTATTTTATACGCTGCGCTGTTTGTCTGATTATAATCTGAATTTCTTATCCCAATGTTAGATCTGAAATTCTAAATGCCCTATATCAATTATGAAATGTGTGAAATGTATGTGTGTGTGAGATTTCATGTTTTGATCTATTTGGCCCATGTTATGAAATTTGTGAACTGTAATCCTTGTAAAGTTTGTTTAATATTTTAGTTTCTTAATTTTCTTAATTTATATACTATAGGTAATACTTGTTTATTTTGAAATTGCTTGTATTTCGAACTTGATGGGCCATTTGTCATGGAAATCCTTGGATGTGAAAAATTTACATGTTTATGAAATTTTTAGGGATTGTGGCTCACACTGATGCATTGACGAGTGGTAGAATGCTTTAGTTGGCCTTTAAACGAGTTGAACATGGGCTCAACTCAACTTGTCCCATTTGATAAAAAATTGGCTTCTTCAAAACTTGCCCCTCCGAAACAAGTTATGTTTCTAACTTGACTCGTTCCTTGAGTTCGAAACAAGTTATGTTTCTAACTTGACTCTCCTTAGCTTGAATTTTTTTTCTTCACGAAGAGTTGGTGAAATGCTTTGTTCAATTCATTCATTATCTAGAATTTATTTGATATGTATAAAGTTAAGATTTTCTCTATATATAAACACATAACAACCAATTCTTTATCTCTCTATCTTTGGTCTGAATAATAATCGTATCGTGTGGTTGATGAAAGTTTAAAGTTGGCTTCGTTCATATAATTCCTTACAGAATTGATTCTTGATTTTTGTACTAATCACAAGAACGTTCATTAATAAAGTAAATATGATTATCAAATGTTCACAGCAAGATAAAGTTCTTGTAAAAGTTGTCTGTCTGCCTGCTTTTTAATGCAATAGCTACGTATGAACGCATTTGTAATTCCCTTTAAACAGTACCGATGCTAAGGTAGACCATTTATCCTGCTAGTTCCCTTGAGTAGGATCTTTTCTTTGTTGACAGTTGATGATATAGCAACACATTCTAGTAGGATAAGAGTGCACGGAAGAGAATGTATTTTGTATAAATATATTTAAATAGTGAAAGCGTAATTTGTTAAGGAAAAAATTTATAATGATGGTTACCTAATGAATAATGTTTATCTAATGAACAATGTTAATGTATTTGATTGTTGATGAATGAGATGGTGTAGAAAATGTAAAATAAGTGGTAGAATTTTTGTTAGAGATTTTGGAATAATTATTTGTTGTCTTTAGTGTTTAATCATCATTATTATGAATCAATATTTTCAATCATTTTTTGCTTCGAGCTCTTGATATAGTTACATACAATTAACAATGAACACTGGTTTCGATAAATATAACTATGATCTTTAAAGTTTATTAATGGTAGAGAATTGCTTTATAATTTTATTGACAATTAGTCTGAGTAGGATTCTTCTCTTTGTTGGCAATTGATATAGCACATATTCTGTAAACCATCTCATATGCCCTTCAAATATACACAACCGTGTAAATTTTTAAAGGATATAGTGATGTTTAACTAAACATCTAACTAAAACTTTCAAATACAAAATTATTTGAAGTATAACAAATAGGCAATAGCATTAACTTAAAGAGGAAATTACACTTACACCCCTTGAGTTTTAGTGAAATTACACAAACTATCCCTCCTTTTTTTGTCCTTACACGAACCTTTGTATATATATTACACTGACTACCCCATGTTATAAAAGTGTAATATTTTAAACAAAAAATGTGTGGTGAGTTTAATTAATTTAAAAAAATATTATATAGTGTAACATTTCAAATAGTACAAAAATCAATGTTTTTTTATTATTTCTGTCTCATTACAAAATATATTACTAATTCTAAAGATATGTTTAAATAACTCTTATAATATATATTTTTAACGAGCCAAATAATGAAAACGCATCGACTCTCTTATTATTTGAATTTGTCTACACAATATATAATATTTTATTTAACTTAATTACACATGTCACACGTTTTTTGTTTAAAATATTACACTTTTAATATACGTACAAAATTAGGGGTGATTCGTGTAAGAATAAAAAATGGAGGGTGGTTTACATAAATTTACTAAAACTCAAGGGGTATGAGTGTAATTTAAAATGACTCAAAAGATAACAATGTAATCCTCAGTTTGGCCATATAATGTTAAACTAGTTTCAAACGATTGGTGCAGAAAATTGACACGTATTGTGGTACAGATAATATTATCTCCTATTGAAATGGTTATTATTTCCTATTGAAATGGGTCAAAAGAAGGAGTAGGTGTTGCTGAGATTAAACCTAAACGAGGAGGATTTAAAATGAAACCAGATAATCTTTTGATTTATCTAATTGGAAATCACACAACTAAGAATAATTCTTATTGTATAAAATGAGAACAATCAATAGTAACACAATTCACTGCAGTTTGATAGTGCTACTATCCGGCGCTATTGATAACATAAAAAGTTCTTAACACCGCTACTACTCAGATATGATTAGTCACTAGATTCGTCTTGTAAATTCAACTATAACTCTTTCTAATTGCAAGGGTTAACCAATAATTGATATATACATGAATATGATTAACAAAAAAAGTATGGTGCTGGATTCAAAATTTCACCTTGCACTAAGTCATGTCTATGAAGGGGAAACCATATATCATAAATTCAGAACAAATAAAATTTTATTGTAAGCTCTATAATTATATGAAATGAAAATTGATTATTTGATTGATTACTTAGGAGGTGGTGGATGAAGGGCCAAGGAATCCATGTAATTCCTAACCTCATGAGCTATCATACGCCGCATCATCTCCATCATGCTCCTTTGCTCATTCACCATTTCATCATTCCCTTCATCTTCATCTTCATCTTCTTCCTCCGTACCCGGTGGTAACAGGCTCAATGACGTCATCACATGACAATTATTATCATTATCCGGTGATATTGTTCTCCGTGTTATCTCCGCTGAACCTGAACCCAAACTTTTATTCTCATATGAATATCTTTCCCTGTAAGGCTTCTTGAGTGGATAACTCTGATCCAATAAACCTGTGTTGGAATGGAGGAGGAAGTCATTGGTGGTGCGCTTCTTAAACACCGCCGTATCGGAATCCGAGGAAGAGGATCCTTGTGCCAAACGACGGCGGCGGAGAGTGGAATTCCAATGATTCTTAATTGCATTGTCAGTGCGTCCTGGTAAGAGTTTTGAAATCGTAGCCCACTTGTTACCATGAACCGCGTGGGCATTGATAATGATACTATCCTCTGCAGGGGTAAATGGACGATGCTGCACGTCGGGGCTTAGCTGATTACACCACCGGAGACGGCACGATTTGCCGGAACGCCCTGGAATACCGGAACTGATCGCCGACCAGTTCCCTGGGCCGTGTTGCGCAACCAGTTTCAACAGCGTTTCATCCTCTTGTGGACTCCATGAACCTTTGATGCGATCTCCGCTGTTGGATTTGGCGGTGGAATTCATCATCGTCATCATCTTGTTGTTCTCTAAGAAAGAGAAATGAATGAATGTTAGGTGAATGAGTTTAATCTTAATAAGCAATGGAATGTACCTTATAACCGTTATTCTCTTATATTTCTACCTAACCACTTTGCAGAACTAACCATATCTGGTTCCAACGTGTTTGTTTCTGTTCTTTAACTTCTTCAATTATGGTTAGGGTTTTAGTTTTTTATCTTCTCTATTTTAAATTGTTTTTAGGGTCGGTGGATGGAAGTTTAGTTTACAAGTAAGGGAATTGAGGTTTTAAGAAGGGAGTGGTGGATCCATAAGAGAGAGAAAATAGAAATTTCATAATGGACGAAGTTATAACCTCCATTTTGTTTTTGTAGAATAATTAAAGAACAGGAGATATCCATTTATTTAAATTTACCCCACATCAATTCTATGACTAATTAAAATTATTTCATTTTCATAGAATTGATGACTAAGATGTGTAGTAAATTTACTCTTGGTAGATGTATTTGGTCTAATAAAATAAGGAATTACATGATTATTCATGGTTCCAAAGATTCTAAAAATTTAATTTATGACGTTTTTCTTCAGTCAACATTAAGCATACATAGCCTTATTTTCTAAACAGATTTGTTTTTCAGTTTAAATATTAAGTTGTACTCTTAAGATAAAGTGAATGGATCAATATCTCTTCTCACTAACATTTTATTTATTATATCTACACTCACCCCAAACAAACTTATACTACAAAAAAGAGAGGCAACTAATAGTTATTTGCACTATAGTTGTCAAAATAACGTACACCATCATTAAAATATTAGGTTTTGGTTTAAATACTAGTTGCATGAGCAAGAGTTTGAAGGGGTTTGGTAGTTAGATGAAGTAGGATCATATAATTAAATTTGGTTAAATGTTGCATAAATGTAGTAACAGATTATATTATTATTAATTATCATAAACTTGATGTGGATAGAGGGGCTATCGAACAAGATGGGATATTGAAGTGGTGACAGGTAGATGGGATGGGAGAGAATAATATCATATATAGATGAAATTTGTTGATGCTTTTGGCAACTACAAACCGTTAGTACAGTTAGACACGCATATAGTACAGAGTCTATCTAGACAATAAATCCGAGGAGTTTTCAAACTTCAAATAACTGTATTTAATTATTCAATAGCAAAAATTGTCTTCTATTTTATTTATTTATCTATAATAAAATATATTATGTAGACATTTTTGTTGACACTATTACATAAAAAAACATTAGGTATTATAATAGTTCTGCTTAAGATAATAAATATGATATGTTTCCTTCTTTTTCTTAACCATTGGACTTGTATAATAATCAAAAATAAGAAATTAATATTGTACAAAACTTAGAGATAAAGTTTTGTATGTAGCAACAAAGTCAATTTCATAAACATAACAATTATAATATATATTTGATTAGATGTTACTTTTATTCTTTTTTTTAAATCCAAAATCAATAGATTCCTTTCGTATTTTCTAATATTATATACATGTATCAAAGAAAAAAAAAGTGCATATCCTTTCCAGGAGAAAATGTGAGTGGTTATTATTTATTGCAAGAGTCATTCCTTTATAAAAATTAGTTAATAATGATATACATTACTTATAAATCAATCACAAAATATAACATTTAGATCACTTTAATGTTTGGGAAGGAAAATTTGTAAACCATTTTATGATAAAATGATTTACTAATTTTCATATTCCATAGCAAGCAGGAGTAAATAGTCCCTTATTCTAGCTACCGGTTTAGTTGGTTGATACAAGTTAGACATACAAACTATAAAAAAGTTGAAAAATACATCATATATAATACCTAACTACATATAAATGTAGTAGTTTGAATTGGGTGGTTAAATGGCGAGTTGTTAGTTGAATAGAAAAACAATTGTGAATAATAGTTATATCTTATAAGAAGGTTTAATGTGCTGAAAAAGGCTTAGGATACAGTATTGCATGCAAGTGCTCACTCTTTTTTATGTATTTATAATAATTAAAGTGGTTCGAGATACTAAAAC